ATGTACTCATAACAACAGAATGGGTTACTTGTGAAGCTCGCTCTTCCACCTCAACATGCATGCACTAGAGCTTTAGTATCATGAGTTTGGAGCAGCTAACCCACTTTTACGTTGCCATAATTAAAGAGGGCTTGGGAGAAAGATGAGGCTTTCTGTCTGTGAAGATTTAAAGACTCAAAAATCTTGTCAGTATGAGTTGATGGCATCAAAGAGGGAGACGTGCAGGCCCATCGTTCTCTCCCTTTTTGAGATCTCCTCAAAGTTTTATTGGGCTGAAGTTAATAACCCTTTACGGCAACCTACTCGACTCGTTTTATAGACCCATGTTTTGCAAGCAATCCATGTTGAAGACTAGGAATTGACCATGTCCTGGGTTAGAAATTCAATGGAGGCTTTTCATGGATGTTTCTGTGATCAGACTGTTTGTTTGACTACACTTCCTGTCCTATGTATTAGATGCCCCCGTGACACTGACTGTTAAGCACTGGACTGCAAGACTCAGGGTCAGTAGTTCAAATCCACCAGCTGCTTCAAGGGAGGAAGATGAGGCTTTCTGATCCCGTGAAGATTTACAACCTTGGGAACCCTGTACAGTATGACTCTGAGTCAGAACTGACTCAGTAGCAGTGGGTTTCCTGTAGACTGTTTTTAGGAAAGTACTGTTTCAGCTATAAGACACCACGCTAGGAGGCCCTACCGTCCAGCAGATCCCAGATTCTTTTTTGCAAAGATTTACAGTCTTCCACACTTACTCCCCTTAGCTCTTCACCATGAACAATGGGCTGGCCTTCTCTTCATGCCTCAGGCCCTGCCAGGCACCTCACCCTTCAGAAGGTATAAATCCAAGTCCTTTCCCTGTCACCATTTCATTGTTTATGAATATATACACCTGACCAACATGTAAAATGACTCATTCCAGTATTCATTGATTACCTGGCGTGTAATAATACTTGGCAGAATAAACAAGGTAGACACAGATTGTTAAAGGATTAACAGACACATGGAGCCTCTGGGTGGTACAAACAGTTAGTATGTTCAGCTGCTAACTGAAAGGTTCCCAGTTCAGGTTGACCCTGGAAAGAAAGACCTGGAATTGAAAATCGTACGGTACGGAGTTCTCCTCCGACACACATAGAGAATGGGAATAGACTCAGAGCATTTTAAATAAACAAACAAATGGACACATAAGTGCTGGAGATACTCATACGTGGGATCCAGGACACCTTGTGTTCCTGAGCATGAGCTTTGATAGGTTCTCAAGAGGTTGAAGAACTTGTGTCCTGGGTCTTCTAACTGTTCCCACATCCAGCCAGACCAGTGGAGACAAGACTGCTGCTATTCCCTCCCACATACCCAGGGAACGCACGACCAAACTGTCTCTAAGGATGTTATTGAAAGGTTGATAGCATTACATTTTTGTAAAATAAATACTTATGGAAGACATTTTTCTCTGGTTTCATAACCATTTCATAACAACACTTATGAATAATTGGTTTAAGATAAGGGACATTGTAAATGCTAACTTCTTCGTTGGCGGTTAGAAAGTTTCTTGGGAACCCTTAACCTACTTCTAGGACTTCTGGTGTGGCATTGTAGGGTAAGCGCAGGACCAAAAGGTCAGTTTGAGCCACAAGGTCAGTGGTTCAAACTCACTAGTATCTCCTCAGAAGCCCTATACTGGGTTGTAATGGGTCAGAACCAACTAGATGGCACTTAACAACAATACCAACTGTACCTCTAATCCAAGTAGCTGAGACATCACAGCAGATGTTTCGTGTGACTCCTCATTGGGATTTGAGGGACTAATCGCGAGCCTTTTCCCTACCTGGGTTCTAAACTAACTGTGAAATAGAAGTAGAAACTAGACAGATGCAGAGCCAAAGTCAACTCTGAAACCTACCACATAGGTGAGGGGAGATCTGGACCACAAATTTTCCGTCCTGAGTTAGGGGGGCTTGCTGGTCACCCGCAGCACAGTCAGAGCAGCTGCAGTCTCCGTCTCTGAGGAAGATGCAAAGTCCTCAGACAGACACATCCCTCCAATGGGGGCATGCCCGCCCACTCTCAAATGCACCATCAGGAAAACCCTTCCAGCCTTGGCCCTTGGCCCACTCCCTAGAGAGGGGCTGGGGCAGGAGACCAGGAACATTGATTGCTCCAAGGGGGTGCCTTCATGTGGGGAGAGGGGATGATTACCGTGCTCCTGATTTATTTCAACCCTCCCTTTCTTAGATAAAATCCCCCTTTCTAATTGTATCTTCTTTATCCAGCAACCCCCACTATTTAGCTAACTGCAATATATAAGCCCCAAACCCATTGTCTTTCAGTCACTTCTGACTCATAGCGATCCTACGTTGTTGTTGTTAAGTGCTGTAGAGTCAATTCCAACTCAATGTGACTCTGTATAGGGTTTCTGAAGAGTGGCTGGTAAGCTTGAACCGCCACCTTTGAGATTCAGACTTACATTACAATCCAGAGTGTTAACCCACAGCCCCACACCAGGACAGAGTAAAGCTGTCCCATCAGGTTTCCAAGGCTGCAAATCTTTATGGAAGCTGACTGCCACGTCGTTCTCCCACGGAGCAGATGTTTTGGTTCATAGCTGAGCGCATCACCATTGCGTCACCAGGGCTCCTGATACAGCTATGGATACTTCAGGAGACACATCTGTTGGAAGGCAGGTCTGGCGATCTGCGATTAGAAAGTCAGAGTCTAAAACCCAATGGAGCAATTCTGCTCTGCACACATAGGGGTCGCCATAAATTGAAATCGGCTCAGCAAAAATGAACATATCCAAAAATCCAGTTGCTATCTATCCAGTTGAGTCCAGCTTATGGCAACCCGAGGTGTGTCATAGTAGAACTGTGCTCCGTTAGGTTTTCAATGGCTGATTTTTCAGAGGGGCCACTGGTGGGTTCAAACTTCAATTGTTAACCATTTGCTTTATCATAGGACTGAGCCAGATAGATAATGTTGTTGTTGTTGTTGTCAGGTGCCATCGAGTCGGAACCGACTCATAGCGACCCCATGCACAGCAGAACGAAACAATGCTCGATCCTGGGCCAACCTCACCACCGCTGCCACCCCTGAGTCCATCAATGATGCCACCTGGCCGATCCATCTCATTGGGGGTCTTCCTCTTTTTCTCTGACCCTCCACCCTACCCAGCTTGACATCCTTCTCCAATGATTGTTTCCTCCGGACTACATGTCCAAAGTAGGAGAGACGAGATGGATAGATAGGTAATGGATGGATGGATAGATAGATGATAAATAGATAGAGTAAAGCACCTTACAATACACGTGTTAAAATGCTTTATGTATTTTGGGAACAAATTGACCAAATAATTTCACTAATAAATTCATTTTAAAAATCACAGGAATCTTCTCTCTTTTTTCCCCCCTTGTATTAGATAACAAAACCACGTGATATTGAGAGTACTTCAAGAGAAAAGAATTATAAGAAACTGGAAAGAAGTTAATGCTTTTTCTTGTACCTCTCAGGGTTCAAAAACATTCATGCTTGTCTTTAATGAGATTTTTTTAACTCTGCATTTTAAAATTACTAAGTGTTTCAAAAACAACGAAGGCCCAGTAACATGCCTTCCCTCCCGGTAAGCTAGATAGAATATCTGCAGAGAAGATGGCTAATATAAAATGCTCCTTCATAACATGTACTTATTTAACAAAATTTCTAGGAATAATATTTCCAAATGGGTATTATGCATTTCAAGAAAATCAATCTGAAAGACTAGATCCTATTTCAAAGAGGTCATTGCTGTTGTTTAGTGCCGTGGAGTCAATTCTGACCCATAACAACCATGTGGTAGGGTTTCTGAGGAGCAGCTGGTGAGCTTGAACCACCCACCTTGTAGTTCAAATGGCTTTATAGTCTGGCACATTAACCCACAGCACCACACCAGGACTCCAAAGAGGCCATTACCACCAGAAAAAAAATTTTTTTCTCTTTTAATTCCAAAGCTGTTATTGGAGGCTTCTGAAAGCATTTTAATGAACCTCAAAATGCCAAGTCTTTGTCCTCTAGGGTGAATCTGAGTTTGGGAACAGCCATTCAGAGCTATGTTTAGTAAATGCTGTTGTTGTTAAGCACCATCGAGTTGGTTCCAATTCATAATGACTCTGTATAAGCTTTCCAAGGCCTTAAATCTTTGAGGGAGCACAAAACATCATTTTTCTCCCACAGAACAACTGGTTGGCTCGAACCACCAACTGTGGTTTGCAGTTAAGCCTTTATCATATGGAACCAGCCAATGTATGTATTCAAATGTGGTAAGAAAGTTTTTCATTAATCACAAGGTGAAAGGTGATAGTCTTCGTTTGCCTCATTCTGAATGTCTGTGTATAACAGGAAGGGAAGAGGAAAAGAGGATAAGCCGTGCTGTACAGGGAATGTGTAATGAACAGTTAACAATGAAATTCTGATCAAGTTTTATGTTTCACACCATGTGAAAAGGAAGTTAGATTGTTATGTTTAGTCAACTAATGTTGCTGTGAGCATTTAGAAGAGAGTGAGATCTTTCCACATATTGTTGGGCTCCATTTCTCACTTCCATTACTTGGATGCTTCGTTTCTTTAGGTGCCGCCAGTTTTATCCAAATAGTACTGGCCCTCACCATTGTTCCTTTTAAATGAAAGCTTTAAGAATGCTCATCAAAGAATAATATTGTATGATTCCACTTATATGAAATATCGAGGATAGGCACACGAATGCAAACCTACATTTGTGGTGATTTGAGAGCAAGAAGGAGAGAGCAGGAAAGGGAGGCTATTGCATAGGGAACCCTGAACTTCTGCTAAGGGTGTTGGAAAAAAATTTGGAAAGTGGTCCTGGTGATGGTTGTCCACCATGATGAACACAATTCGTCTCACTGAACTATGTGTGTGATGAGTGTGGGAATGAGAAATGTTTGGTACATACATATTTACCGTGATTAAAGAGCAAATGAATGACTGCTCATGCCCAATCCATTCTCTTCCAGAGCATAGGAAACTTGGAAACATGACTGTGACCGTGAAGAAGACTGTCCCCTCGCCTGAGGCCGTGCAGATCCTCTACCAGCGAATGCGATATGAGTATGACTTCTACCACTACGTCCGAGAGCAGTTCCACCTGCTGAAACGCAAGTTTGGACTGAAGTCTCATGTCAGCAAGCCCCCTCTGAGACCACATTTCTTTATCCCAACTCCACTGGAAACTGAGGAGCCCATTGATGATGAGGAGCAAGATGATGACAAGTGGTTAGAAGATATTTATAAGAGGTGATGCAACACTGTGGAATTGCCTACCATGGCTTCATCTCCCTTTCCAGAAAGTTTGTTTGTTTGTTTGTTTGGAGGGAGAAAAAAGAACCTTTAAGGGACTATATTAATGCTTGGCTGCATTAAAAAGAACAAAACATTCCCACATGTTGGGGTCATTGGGAGATGCCCGGTTTTGCGGGTTTTATTTGTTTAATTTTATTCTATGTTTTTCTTGGCTCCTTGGGTCCTTCCCAGGGATACTCAACGGTTCCATCACAAGAACATCTCATCATAAAATTGCTTTTCCTCCCCTAGTATAATGGGAGGAAGCGGGAGAAATAGACCCCCACAGCCCAATCATAGCATTTGTAAAATAACACTTAAAAATATTACCTCGTTGGTAGGAGACATCTAGATTTGCCTGTTTCTGTAGAAATACAAAACCACTTTAGAGACCAGGACATGTACTGAAGAAGGATCTAAGAGGAGAAGGTAAGCCAGATAGAGGAGGATAAGTCCCTGCTTAAGTGGTTTCTACTCACATCGAATAGAATTCTGCCTCTGATCTGTCTCAGGGGATACGTTCATCAAGAATGGTCAACTTCTCTCTGAAAGAGCAATTCGGCTTTGCCCCCTCCCAACCAATCCAGAGCCTTGAGCCCCTTTCAAAGGTCAAAGTGCATGGCAAGCTGCCTTGAGGCATTTCCTGCCCCAGCGCCATCCTAACATTACAAAGGAGCAGAACAAGGGAAAGAGTATAGGCAAGAGAGATCACATGGAGGTTGTGAGGCATTGGGGAAAGGACTTGTTCTTTCCAGCCAATAAGAAGCATCTGTCTCCGTGGTCTTGATTTCAGTGGATGTCCCCAGGAACCAATTTAGCCCTAGCACTTGACCCCTGTAAGGAGCTCTGGTAGCGTAGTGGTTACGAATCGGGCTGCGAACCTTAAGGTCAACGGTTCGAAACTACCAGCCGCTCCGCGGGAGAAAGATGAGGCTTTCTACTCCCGTAAGGATTTACACCCTCGGAAACCCTGTACAGGGTCGCTATGGGTCGGAACCGACTCGACGGCACTTAACAACAACAACTTGACCCCTGTGAACGAAGTCCTAACCCTTAACCACATACAGCGCATAATCTTATCAGTCCCAATCCTGAACCAAGCTGGGTCCCATCGTATGTGGTCTCTTTCACCTTCTAACTCTAAGAAGACCTGATTTCATAAGAAGGGGTTCTGAGTTCTGTGCAGGCAGCAACAGAAATACAGTCCCGTTTCTTAGGAAACCAGCTTCCACCTGAGCTTCCTTACTAGGGGCATCACGAAGAGAAGAATCAAGAGTTTCTTGGTACAAAACTACTTGCCCAGCATTTTGAGAAGGTGGCTGTTCCCAGAATGATCTGAGTAGATGTTGGGCAGTTCCTCTGGCCCCCAAATAGTTCTCCTCCCCACCTGCCACCCCTATCACTTGCTGCCCAGCAATGATGCCTTGGTCCAATCATTAGAAAGCAATCTCTTTCTATTCTGAACTGTTTTCACTTTTTAAAAACCCAACTGAAAGCACATGCATGCCTGAGTGCATAATATACACTGTTAGCTGAGAAGCAGGGGTACAGATTCTGGGGGACAGGGCATGCAACCAGCAAGACACTTATAACCAAGTTTGTCTACTTCATGCGTTTTCCCCTCGAACCACCCTTCTAAGCTTACCACGAGCGAAGTGTGAGTTGGAAATATTTAATAGTGACCAAGACTCTGGTGTTATACAAGTTACACAGTTTCTATCTTCAGAAACCAACAAGCCTCTCTAGAATTTTTCCTTCCTTCGCTACAACTGTATGGTTGCCAAGATGTAAAAGCCATTTGGAAGCTGTCGAGTGCATAAGAAGGCTACTTTATCATGAGATGTATTAAGAAGGCTTCCCCGCCCCAGGAATCCAGTGGAGGCTGGAGCCATCAGAGGCACAAAATCCAGCACTTAGCCACTTGTGGATTTTCTTTCTGCCACCAGAGAACTGGGGCAGAGAAGTGGTTGAGGGGAATGTTCTTAGAAGAGGAGATAGCCTTTGTCTGTTCAGAGAGACCAGGGCCCTCCTAGTTACCAAGGTTACTTTTAGAAGGCAGCCCAGAGAACAGCTATCATCTTCAAAACAAAAACTACTTACTGTCTGCTAGAAATGACATAGAAAGAATACTGGTTGTTGGAGACCTGGTGTGGCGTTGAGGGTTAATGAGCTGGACTGTAAGGTCGGTTTGAACCGCAAGGTTGGCAGTTCAAGCTCACCAGCCGCTCCTCGGAAACCCTATACAGCAGGGTCGCTATGGGTCAGAACCGACTCGACGGCACTTAAGTCCAACAGCAACAATAATGATTAGTTTACACACTGTGCAATCTGATAATCTGAAAGTAAAGTTGAATTTCACCTTAAAGAGGAGAGGCTAAGTTTTCTCTGCTGTGGTCAGAATATCAGGACAGTGGTCATTTAATTCCTCCTTCTAGTTCAGGTTCCGATGGACAATTCTTCCCATGCGTGTATGGACACATCTCGTTTCAGCAGCGACCCTTCTCTCAGTCAGTCACAAAAGATGTTGACTGATTGTCATGTAAGACCCTGATGTTACTTTGGCCCAACAAACAGCCCCTTGGTTTCCCCTCTTTCTCTACAAGCCAAGGCACTTCATCAGTTTGTTTGGAGCATATGAGCACGTTCCTTTGACTCTGTGCCCGACACAGTTTGTACTTCATGAAATATAGTGTACATTTTACATAGTTTAATTTAAAAAAAATACATTTTAAGCTGGTTAATCTTTGACGACCTTATTTATTATAACATTTCGGCACATTCCAAGGTTTTAGTTACTCAGGAAGGAGTTAATTAAAATGATTTTATTTGGGTCTGATGGATGTTTCTGAAAAGCAAAATGATTGCCATGAGCCATCAGCCTACTTTCCTTGAGTGCCGTAAAAGTACGTGTAAATCTTTTTGTGAAAAGAAAGGAAAAAATTTTAAATGGTGTTTGACATTGATGGAAATTCAAAATTATATATGGAACTGAAACATTAGCGTAGCTAAAATAAAAGCAATTTGTGTTTGAGATGAAGTGGTCCTTAACTTATTCATTATCTGCATAAATAAATGAATAAAAATAAGCTGAATTTTTTTCTCTATTCTGTTGATGACTAGAAAGAAAAGTTCCTACAGACTTGCAACATCCTCAGCCTCGTTAATGAGTCAAGGGGTTTTTGGGTTGTATTTTTCTTTTGTTTTCTCAAAATGTGATGTTGAAATTCTGTATTTATTCTTCTAACTTCATTTTAAAAACTTGTATTCAGGTAATTGGGACATCAAAAATGCTGAGTGAAAAATTGCACTTGTCATTCAGTGATCCTCTTGAAAGACTGAACATTCAGTTTGGCTGCTATTTCCTCTGACTGGGTTAGTGTCAACGGTGCTTTGTCTGAATCATCAGTCTCCAGTATCAGGTATCTGTGAATTATGGTGTGCTGATGGATATTGAAAGTACAATGGACTTCCAGAAGAACAAACAAATCTGTGTTGGAAGAAGTACAGTCAGAATGTTCCTTAGAAGTCAGGATGCTGAGATTTCATCTCACATACTTGAGACCAGGACCCGAAGAAGGACATCATGCTTGGTTAAGTAGAGGAAGGCCCTCAATGGGATGGACTGACACAGTGGGTGTCAACAAATGGGCTCGCAGATAGCATCGATTTTGACGATGGTGCAAGTGTTTCCTTCTGTAGTACATCAGGTCACTCCGAGTTGAAATTGACTTAATGACACCTAACAACAGTAGCATGGGTTCTGTCTGCAGTGATACGAAAGGAAGGCTATACCCCACCTTTGAGTGTGAGCCCTGATCCTTTTCTCAGACATGGTCAGTCTTGAAAGCTAGAGAGCGTGGACCTCCCAGGCAAGCATATTTGATCCAGAAATGCCCTCTGTGGGGAATTTCACTACTTCATTCAAATGAAACATGAGAGACAGCATTCTGAGAATGAGAAAGACCACCATACTTTCTAGACACCGAACACTAAATTCCAACCATGTAGGACTTACACAAAATAAAAGAATTAAGATCTTGTTACTAAATGAAAGAAAAACTCATTTCTGTACTTGATTCCAAGTGAGGATCTGAGATTCTTAAAGAGCAAGTGATGGGGGTGGGGAGGGGAGGTATGTGTGATCTTTCTCTACTATTGAGTGTGTTCTTCTGGACCTTAGCAAAAGGATGCTTGCCTGGGAATGGACTTTAAGGAGAAGGTACTGATAAAAATGAATGTCTCACTTCTGGAGCTGCTTGCTGAGTTTGAAGTTTTTTTTGTAAATGGACTACAACCTGCAGGATTTTCCAGTGTGCTATTTGAAGTTTACTGAATTTTATAGATAATCGTGGTGGTGGTGTGGCTGTGTGTCTTTCTCACTCATAGCAACTATGTATAAGGTTTCTGAGGCTGTAAAACTTTAGGGAAACTGAAAGCCTCATCTTTTTCCTACAGAGTGGCTGGTAGATTAGAACTGCTAACCTTGCAATTAGCAGTCCAGTGCACAACCCACTGCGCTACCAGGGCTCTTTTTGGATGATTGTTATTATCAAATACTGTCGAGTCAGTTCCAACTCATAGTGACCTTGTGTAGGGTTTCCGAGGAGCAGCTGGTGGGTTTGAACCATCGATCTTGTGGTTCATAGTCCAGTGCTGATCCAACAACAGGAGTCCATAGATATTTCTGTAAAATACAGAATGGTGATCCATAGTAATTCAGGAAAAAGTAGTCTAATGGGTTAAATTGTGAAATTCCACTCAAGTACATTTAAAGAGAATGGAAAAAAAAAATAAGTGACTTTGTTCACATCTGAAAATGAATAATCAGTAAGGGGGAAAAAAGGGAAAGAAAAAAATGTTTAATGTCCTATATAGGGAAAAGCCTATTTTAGACTAAAACCGATCGGAGCTGTCTGTTAAGAAAAAAGCACATGGAACATGTTTCCAGTGACAAGCCAGGTGCCGGGACCCAGACAACCACAGAAGATTCAAGCAGAAGAACCAACTGACCTGGCCAGTTGCCTGTCACTGGAATCATGGAGATTCCTTGTGTGTTGGGGTACACTGTGCTCCATAGGAGCCTGACTGGAGAGAAGCAAGCCTGAAATCACCGTCTCTCAGAGCTGTCGAGGCTCTAGCAACCACCAAGCTCATTCTTGCATTGGACAGATTAGCAAACCAGGGTCCAGAGAAGATACGTCAACACATCACAAGCTAATTTTGCCAGTAAGAGTTGACTTACCACTTAAGTATCTACCAAACTAACCCTTTAT